ATTCTAGTATGTTACCTATGAAATATAATTATATTTATATGTTACTTTATATTGGCCGATAAAAGCACTTCGTATAATAATTTAATGAACACACAGCTTTTAAGGTTAATGTTGAATCATAAATCGTAATATAATTGTCATTAAAACCAACCTGTCATCTACCAAGTACCTAAGTGATGTGTACATAAATAGAAAATTAGGTATATAAACACCGTTGAATTGACCATTCTCAAAATAATATTTTAACTTTAACAATTCTATTTTATTGTGAATTAATTAATATATTATTTTATATATATAAACGAAGATAATAAGAAACGAAGGAGGTGTACGTCTGTCTGTCGGGTGGTGGGTAATCTTTTTAAAGCGCAGAGCGATCCCCGCGGGAAATTAGACCTGCGGTACGCTTGTCGCTTACCGCTAATAAATCCAATAAATTCTAGCGGATGATTGCTTGCACTTAGGGCTTAGGATTACTGCAACTCGGCTGATTACTCTTACTTGAATATTAATCTTTCAATACCTTTTCAATATTCAAATTTATATTATAACTATTTTATTAATTTTATTGACAAGGCTATGATATAAAGATCTACATAAGGATATGTTTACGTACAAGTACGGTATACAAACAATCCCACCTGACTTTACTGAGACCTTTTTGTTTTTTTTTTTCAAAAAAAAATAAAAATTTTTGCCACATCCTTACTATAACTTCAGGCGAAAATTGTTCTAAATATTAGTCCTCTAGGTCTTGATCTTTTGGCATTGATAAATAAACAACTACGATGCTATCGACAGACACGTAATTCTTTGATTATTCCTTTGTCTTACTTCTACCAGATTGCTTCATTCTTTACTGGTTTTATTAATTAAATAAATTAATAAACAAAAAAGTTATGAACGAATAATTATTTTTCTTTATGGTTAAAAAAACTGAATTTCAATGTAAAATATTTTAAACTAAATACAATCTTTGTAACATAGCATGCAAATCATATAATAATTTTCATTATTGCTTTTAAGTTTCATAATTCTTGCGCATGTATGATGGAATGATAAGAAATGTGATAGCACGCACGTAAATAATAATAATTTTCGCCAAAATTCATCACGCCCATAAGCAAAATATAATTTTAAACTTTTCTATACTTTTATGAAAAAGATATTCATTAAAACTTTAAAGACGGATATAAATCGTGATAAAAATGCCAAAACAAACGAGCAGATCTGAGCCAGAAAACTTCTCAAAGCTACCTTTAGTAATATTTGGTAGTAGACGCACCTCGACGAAACACTGCCACACGAATGCCTTTTTTAATACAAAAGCTGTTAGTCTTATAATCCCATGTACTATTTATTACCGATACAGTGCTAGTCATTTTATTGTGTATGCGATAATGGTATCTAATATGTTTAACATAAAGGTGGTATTAGAGCAAATATATACACCGAGTGTTCGTCTCTCATTAGGTGGAAAACGACGCTCGTACATCTGCGCCCGCAACAAATGCCCCAACACGGACGGGGAACTATCGCACTTGATCGACTTTCTACAAAGGAGTCAATTTTAAAGATAATATTTAATTCTTTAAGAAAAACATTCGCGACTTACGTTCGCTTTACTCGAGAGTGTCCCTACGCTTAAATGGTTTAGAAAAGCATAAAATATAAACGTATAAAGAATTTTTTTTGGCGAGCAACCTTCCCAGGCATATACAAGATACTTCGCCAGAGTTTCATCACAATCGAATTAATGGTTTAGGAACGCATAGAGGACAAATATTTATTTTATTTATATAATTACAAGAAGATAGAAGTGATTTAGAATTTCAGTAACATATTTTATTTATTTATATAAATAATAATTTTTATATAAAATATATATATACAATTTTTAAATATATTCTATTGCTATAATAATTCACAAATAAAAAAAACATTTGCACACATCGTTAAATCAAAACAAGTAACAAAACTATTTTCTAGGGATTCAAAGTTTTAATAAAACTTAGTTTTTCTGTGATTCTTAAACATACTATAATATGTATCATTTATATAAATTGGATAAAATTAAAATAATAATTTATATAAATTAAATGTAATAATTAAAATAATCTTCTAAAATTTTAAGAAATATATCATAACACTGCACATTTAATTTCTATGAGCGAATAAATAAAAATTAATTTCGAACATTTGTGAACAGTCTCGTGGCTTGGATTTTCATTTAGCAGTTCCGTACAGATGTGGCGGTTTGTGGAAGTCATTTACGCTGAAGTCTAGACCAGACGTCGGAGCTGCTCTCATTACGAGGAGTTAGCCTGGACTTAAATCTCACTTAAACTGCCTTCCTTACTCTCCTTACTTTCCTTTCTCGTACTCAGTTTGAGTAATCATTCAATAGCTATTTCAATATCTTATAGATTTTTGTAGTTTCTTTTTGAGTGCAGTAGCGGTCGTAAGTACAGTTAAAGTAAGTACACAAGAAAACCACTGGACAGATTTTGATGAAATTTAGATGATGATAGCTAACTATCCGGGTCGACATATAGGATACTTTTTACTGCGGGAAAATATCTCATCTCTAAAAAATCTATACTAAACTTTAAAACGTATCTAGGAACGAACCCGAGTGGAGTGAGGGTGAGTCATTAGTTTAAAAACATAATTCTTGCTAAATTATTATTCTTATCTATACATATAATAAAATTGTATCTAAGCCGAATCTGTACATTAAATATTTTTTGAAAAATCTTATTGAAATGGACATTATTATCGATACAGAGGCCGAATCTATAGTTTTTAGAATTTTTGTCTGTCTGTCTGTATGTTACCGCATCACAGAAAAACCGCTGGAAGTATTTTGATGAAATTTGATATAATGATAGCTGGTTATCCGAGTCAACATATAGGATACTTTTTACTACGGGAAAATGTCTCATTTCTGAGAAAAAATACAAAAACTGCAATGTAAGAGTATACTAATATCTAAAACCTAAGAATTTGGTTTTTGGTCATCTGAACGCGGGCGGAGCTGCGGGCAATGCAAGTAGGTACATAAGTACGAAAATAGTAGGTTCTTGACTGGTAATAAAGTTATATTATACTTTTTACTTGAAAAAAAAAACAATAATATGTCGAATGTTGTGGGCAATCTGAATATAGGATGAAACAATTTTTCATAATTTCCTAAGGGGATAAAAAAGCTGGTAAAGTTTATATACAAAATAGCATTTTTTTAAGTAAAGTTTGCTCACAACTTTGTATTAATGTTCTTCGACATAATTAATAAAACACGTAGTTCTACGTTTTTTAGGATTCAACCCCAATTGGGACGAAGTTAAATTATAAAACGCGTGTTTGAATATTTTAGACAAGTGACCAAGTGAAAAAGTAACCTTCTGAAACCAAAGCTTGTTACGTATTTAACATAGAGGTCGAGCAAGGAGATTTGCATTTTAAGAAGAAACTAAAAACGTATTACTTAGCCGCTTTTTTTAAGCCTGAATATACCTATTATGCATTATTAAAGTTTTTTTTAATACTCCTCTCGTTGTAACAGAAGAACATTTCATAAAAATAAAAAATGTAATCAAATTATCATTACAGTATCGACAACTTTATCTAAAACACTTTATCAAGCATGAACCAATACCAACAAAAACCAATATATAACATTTTGTTTACACTTCGTTCTTCTTCTTAAATTCATTTTTAACATTAGCTATAAATTTTTATGAGTTGCCGAAGCAAATTCGGATAAAATACTGAAGCTAGTTATAGTTATTGTGTCTCGAAATAATTATTGAGCTCGTGTTCTTTATTGTCTATAAGCACAAGAGCACCATATTAAAGTATATGTGTACGTAGTTTCTCTATTATTAGATGAAAACATTCTATTAATCCTTATTACTCTGCGTAGTTTATGGAGATCATTTTTGTATTATTATTTAAGATTTTGAAATCATTTTTCATACAAAACTGTTTAAGCTAATAAAAACAAAATGATATTCAGATAATATAATAAATTAAGTATTAAATAACATCAAAAACAAACAAAAGATATTATTTAGTAAATCTTCACAAAACTGCGATACGTCTAACACAACATACTAGGAAACTAATGCTAAGCCTTTAAGTAAAGTTAACGAACAAAGACGTAACCCTACGAGATTTAAAAATATTACAATAGTAATTCAAATCTATTTATCTATATATTTTACGCATATTATTTTACTACATATTCACAAAACATGTTTCTTTAATAAATATTATTTATAATATAGATTTTTGAGCCACAGCCCTACGTGTATGTTTGCTACAAAACCTTCTTACCCACATTATAAAACAATTAAAACCAAATTATCTTGTACCAGCGCGTAACTTTATATGCTATGTGAAGTATATTATTTTTTACTTTATTTATATCCCCCTAAAGTACATTTCGGAAGTTTCTAGTCGATGTGAACCAGCACGTGTGTCAACTAATTAGTAATGTAGCGACAGCGGCCGCCGAAGTTCGGAGTTCTATGCAAATGCGAAGTTCAGGCGTTAGACAGTCGTCGGGACAAGTTGTAAGTTGATGTGTAGAGGTGAGGAGCATTCACTGTGCACATGTTTGGTGCAATTAAATTATTAAGAACAAGAACAGATAAACTTTAAGCTTACGAAATAAGATTAATTTTACGATCACAATCTTGGAAGGCTTTCGTTTTATAAAGTACCTCAATGAATATAATTTTAAAAAAATCACTATCAACCAAACGATCACAAAGCAAACAATATGCTAATATATTTCATTTATGCATTATTTAATAAGTGAAATACTCGTATCTGTGTCTTTACAATGAGATCTGCTATAACAATAACGATGTACGCTGCGAACTTTTGTTTTCCTTTTCGGGATTTTTCCCAGCAATGTCGGCATCGTAAGTCAAATTTTACTAAAAATCTAATAAATAACTTATGTTTAAGGAACTAAACAATGTAAAACTTACCAGGACCCACCCCATCGTAGTGGAAGTCGTGCAGGTAGAGCGTGCGCGAGTCGACCGCGTACACGCGCCCGCGCACGCCGTGCTGCAGCTCGGACAGCGGGCCCACCTGCTTGCCGAGGTACCGCGCCTCACTCCAGCCTGACACAGACATATTTTAAGATACATTATAGCCTTTGTACATACATTATTAACAATTGTAAAAAAATACATTTCTTCCCATTGAAAGAGTATATTATGAAATGAAAGAAACTTTATTTAATTAAACTTATTATAAGCACTTTTGAAACATCAATATAATTTCTTTTAAAGAGCGTTAGTATCGTCAGTCCGTGAGGAAGCTGCTGGGCTCTGAAATCAGTTCTGCTGAGAAGAGCCCAAAAGAAACTCATTATAAAATTAAAACTTAAATCGACTACTTCACAGCTGTTGGGTGTAATTAAAAGTGTAGTAATATTCTCCTAGACAATTGCGACAACCAAACTCTCTGACGCTAGCAACTGCGCGGAACATATTGTACTGTACAAATGTGTGTAGTCTCTATTCCTTTAACTCTCATATTACCAGTGAAAAATAAGGTGAAAAAGTGACAAAGTAACGTGCTTTCTCAGGCACGAGAGTGTAAACACCTAAATTCTCAACCGGGCTGCTGCTAAACATTTCGTGACAGATACCCCAGTAACTAATTAGGACCGACGCGGAACTCGAACCCAGGACCTCTTGATTTGCAGCCGTGTGTATAAGAACCACTACACCAACAATGCAGCTATTTCGCTAATTAACGTTCACCGGAAATAAAATATGAGCTCTACAATAATATTACTCTTCAATAAATAATGAACTTATAATTCCTAGAATACATTTTATTGTATGTGTTATTAATCATTTATAAACATTCTCCTCTAAGCATTACTAGGTACAAGCACCGGCGAGGTTGTTATGGAACTTTTCAACTGAAACACGAAAAGATTATACATCGCCAATCCGGAGATTAAAATAACAATGTCATGTAAACTTGTTACCAACTAATTAAAATTGAGTAAAGAAATATTATTTGGCTTTCTACTATATCCAATAAAGGCAGAAAATGTTAACTTTATATTAAGTTATCCGCTTCCTATTTAGGAATCACTTTTAACATTAATAATAATTCGTATTATAGAATATATGTACGAGTATATTTACATCAAAACGAAAGATGATCTAAATGATGCAGGCACAACCACTGCATTGATTGCCACCCAAATTGGCATATAAACTTTTTGTCTAATATGTGAAATTCCTTGCTACTATATATTTTAATAGAGACGTATATTTGTCAGTTTGTTAGTTAGTCTTTTTTTCCATGCGGCAGATTTTTTTCATAGATGTAATGTATGAGCTAATGATTGAATATAATGTTTTATCCTGTTAAGTGATTGAGAATTGGGATATTTATTTAGTTATTTATTTATTTATTTATTAGGAAGCCTACGTTATATACTAAGAATACATTTTTTAACTTATTATAGTTATACATAAGAAAGTGTTACAAAGTATATCACAATTACAGGCTAACTTAACATGTATATAATAATTGTTAAACTAAGAAAAATGTTGTTGTTGTTGCTCACTTATGTTACAAAAAAAAATATAAGAAATGAAAAAACTCTAACATTTAAATAACAAAATATCCTTGTAAAAAAAAAGTTTTAACAAAAATATAACTAAATTATGATATTACATAAATCGTAAATACATAGATAGAAAAATAACCAAATCAAATAATAAAAAAAGAAATGGGTAAAAATATAAAACTAAGATAATAATTTACTATGTGAAAGGTATTAGGGGTTATTTGATTGAGATAAGTTCATAAAGTAGGTTTTCAGTTTAGCCTTATAGCAGTGTAAGGAGTCATAAAATATATCAAAGTCATTTTTTGGTAAGTTATTATAACATTTTCCAGCTCTACATAGTGGGGCATTTAAACCTAAATTCGTTCTCGAGAACTGACAATTAAAACTTTGAGCATTAGTTACTCTTGCATTTGGTTTAGGAGTAATTATATTAAGTTCTTTTAATAATCTAGGGCAATCGATATCTCCTGAAATTACTTTGTGTAAAAAGCAGAGATCAGCAATATCCCTGCGATGAATTAATTTCAATATTTTATAATGTCGTAATAAATCATCATAATTGCTTACTTCATTATTAATTCGGTCTTTGTAAGATAAAAACTTTAAGAATTTCTTTTGTATTCGTTCCAATCTATTTTTATGCGTGTGATAATATGGGTTCCAAGCTATTGTACAATATTCTAACTTACTTCTTATTAATGCATTAAACAAGATTATTAATGTACTAGATTTTTTAAAGGCTTTAGTAGATCTAATTATAAACCCTAATGTCCTTAATGATTTGCTTACAGCATCATCTATATGTGGAATAAAACTCATCTTTGCGTCAACAATAATACCCAAATCTCGTGTTTGAGTAACTTTTTTAAGAGGGTAACCGTTTATACTGTAATTGTAATTAATATCACTTATTTTTCTACTAAAAGTTATGCTGTGGCATTTAAAGTTATTTATTTTCATTTGATTCTCAGAACACCAAATGGCAAATCTATTTAAATCCTGTTGCAAAAGAACCGAGTCTTCAATAGTTTTTATTGTTCTATAAATTTTTAGATCATCTGCGTAAAGTTGAAAATTACTATGATGTATAACATTTACGGCATCATTGATAAAAATTCCAAATAAAATAGGACCAAGTCTCGATCCCTGAGGCACTCCGGAAGTTGAAAAAAATGTATTTGACTCATAACCTCCCAAAACAACATTCATTTCTCGATTTTGCAAATAACTTTCGATTAGTTTAAGTAATTTCCCGCTTATCCCATATTTATAAAGCTTCTGAATTAAAAAGTTGTGATCAACCACATCAAAAGCTTTCGCCAGATCTGTATAGATACAATCAACCTGTGTATTAGAATCTAATGATTTTATGATATCCTCCACAAAAGCTACCAAATTAGTAATTGTAGACCTATTTTTTATAAAACCATGTTGATTCTCTGTTATTATGGGTTTCGTGTGCCAAGTGAGAAAAGGACAAACTAATGACTCAAAATTTTTTGCGAAAACTGATAAAATACAAATGGGTCTATAATTTTCTATGCATTTTTTCTCTCCACTTTTAAAAATAGGTACAACTCTCGTTTTTTTCCAATAAGAGGGAAATTTGCCATCTTTGAGTGATTTTTGATATATCAGATAAAGTGGTTTTACTAGTGTTGATGCAGTTTTTTTGACAAAAATAGATGGTATGTTATCAGATCCAGGCCCCTTCTTTATATCTAGAGATTCTATTTGAGTTAGTATTTTTTTCGGTTATGGTAATTTCTGATAAAAGCGAGTTGCATGTATCATTACAATTAGTGCAGGATGTATCACTAGAAATCTTGGCGTTTTGAACATATTGTCTTGAAAAATGCTTTGCAAATTGATTACATATGTTTACTCCTCCAGTAAAATTACAATCATCTAATGTCATTAAAGCCGGGTAATCACATTTATTACTACGAAGATTTTTTATATAGGAATAGAAAAACATTGGATTTACCTTTACGTTATTTTCTACGTTTTCAATGTACTTATTATAATCGATATCTATAAGATCATTACATCTGTCTCTGAGAATTTTGAATTCAATCTCATCGAGAGGATTGCCATATTTTTTAAATAATAATCTGTACTTATTCTTTTCTTTTAATCGCTTTTTAAGATTGTGTGAAAACCAAATTGGATAGTTTTTATTATTTTTTACTTTTTTTTTCGGCACGCAAATCTCTATTATTCTACGTAATTCAGAATAGAAAATATTGACCATTTTATCAGTATCACTACAATTATAAAACAACAACTCCCAGTCTAAATTTTGAATATGTGTATTTACAATATCATAGTCCGCGTTTTTATAATTATAATTAGTAAAAGTAATTGGTTCAAAAAGTTTTTCAACTGTATTCAGATTTAAGAATATATCTAATGGAGGATGATAATTATCAACCGGACAAACACATGTGTAACTATTGGTAACCGTAATATTATCAATATTAGTAAATATTAAATCCAACATTTTACCATACATATTATTAATACCATTACTTTGCGTCAAACTTGTAAGAGACATAAAATCCTTTATTAAACAACCAGCTGCCGAATTGGTGTGGTTCACCGTAAACTTTGTGGGTATATTACCGTCCAATACCCAGTGCAGTGCTGGTATGTTAAAATCACCAATTATTAGGGTTGTAGGTTGTTGAATAACTAGTTTTTCTGTATTTTGTATAAAAGTTTTTAATACTTCATATTTTAACGGAGATGGAATATACACCGCGCAAATAGAAATAATTGTCGAATCAATCGTAAGGTTTACCCATAGATCCTCGTATGCAGTCTCCCAAGATGTAACCCTGTAGCTTTTAATTTTTTTTAAAACAGCTATTAGAACGCCTCCACCATCACTTTTTGAAGAATTACTAGATTCACGATCCCGCCTATATACCACGTACCTTTCGTCTATAAATTCGTTATTGTTAATACTGCTATTAAGCCATGTCTCTGTAAAAATAATGACATCAAAATTATCATTAAGTATGGCACGGTAAGTATCATATATTTTTGTCCTAATACCTCTTACATTTTGATACAAGATTCTTAAGCTACTCAGCATAGATTAAAACTATTAAAAAACAATACACAAAAAATCTTAACAGATTAAATAAATAAAAAAAACTTATAAACACAATTTACTCTAAAGTTTTTAGAAAGTCTTTGGATTTTACAAATATTACGTCACTCGCAGTTGATTTTCTAAGAAATATGTTACCGTTACGTGACCAAACGTAGCGATACTGTTTTTCCTTGGCAAGGAGTCTTGCTGCTGCATATATGTCCTTAGATGCAGAAGTTAGATGCTCAGACACAAAAACAGGTGCCTTTTCCCCTGATATTCCAAGGTGCGATGTATTCAGTTTGTCCTCGGCGTTCTTTTTATTATAGTTGATAACACCAGCCAAAAATCGATCACGTATAAGTGGAGTTGAAAACTTTACTATTACTGTGCGAGGACGAGCTGAGCTTTTATTTTGTTTTGCAACCCTTGTACATTTAGTGATGCTACCTTCAATTAGAGGAACACTTATTACTTTGCTTATTTGTTCGATTGTGTTTACAAGATTCTCATTCCTAAATTCAGGTACACAGTGTAATTCTATATTACTTGCTCTTGCTTCCTTTTCCAGACTGTTTATAACACTGCTATGGGAATTAATAATGTCTCTTAATTCACAATTGTCCTTTTTTAAGTTCAAAATTTCACTTTTCGCTTCCTCTAATTCTTGCTTAACACTGTCGTATAGATTGGAGAAATAATCTATGGATTCCTTAATGCTTTGTAAAACACTTAACTCTTCACGAATTTTTTTAAATTCAACGCTTAAAGAGTTAGTTATTATCTCTTTCACCTCTTTCGATATCAGTGACGTAGACTGTACCTGCGGTGTACTATTTTCCAAACAGTTTTGCTTATCTTTCGGTGTATTTGAGTTATTGCTGCCTTTTCGAGTATTTGAGGCACAAGCCGTACAGATCCACTGTGTTCGGGATATTACGCTGCTGTTATTATTCGATGCAACACATTCTAAGTGATAATGTGCTTGACATTTAGAACACTTAATCCTTTTTTGTGTTACCAAGATATTGCCTTTACAGATTGGGCATTCATTGGTCATTTTTAACTTTGTAAAAGACAAATTAATAAATTAAAATATTTTTCGCGTGGCTTTGAACTCCCAACTCCGGCGTAAGCATCTACAGTTAACACCAAGAGACCACGAACAGGGCTATTCGGAATGATGAAATTGCACTACCGGTGTTTCGACAAGTTTTTATTCGCTTCAATATAATAATATAAGGGGGTATTTGTGTTATTCTAACTTCTAAACTTGCACTTTTAGTAAATAAAATGACGATTTTAACACTTTTAACTGTTCACTATGTTCTTTTTTTTAGTAAAAAGTCACAATAAACCCCACAGTTTAACTTATTACTTTTATAAGCCACATCTAACATTTAGATACAAAAAGAATATATTTTTTAATATAGTGAGCAACAACACGTCTTAACAGAACAAATGGTGACACTAATTAAGTTGATTAAGTTAATTAAGTTACTAAAAGATACTTCGAAAAGCGACATATCAACAATTTTAGATAGGTATATTTAATTTTTTACTCTTATAATTAGTAAAGGGAGGCAAGTTGCGCACAAATAGACATCAACGGAACATGTTTATTTATTCATGCGCCTAATTGCTAAGCCCAGATCAATGATCACACATCAAATTTTCAGGCTATTAATTAAACATAAAATAGCCGCGGACGGCGAAATCTCGTACGTTGTCGTGCACAGGTAGCGTGGGTCTAAATAATTAATCACATTATACCTGGGAATAAGAGCGGGGATTAATAATAGTAATGATAATGATATTACCGGAAATCGAATAACATTTGATTATGCTAAAGTATGTATTGTATTGATTTTCACTCGCAACTTCACTCGGATACATCGATCAAAATAATTCTATTACTGAGGAATAGCGCAGCTCCCTAAACTAATGCTAACTAATATAAAAATTCCTAGAATGGATCCATTAGTTCCAGAACTTATCTTTCTCAAGTAAATCAATTCCCCTATTCTTTTGTGTATAATAATAATATTGTGTTGTAGTAATATTGTTTTCTATAGTTTAAAAGTAATTCCGAGTATATTTAAAGATGCTGTAATTTGGAAATTTAAAATAAGCGATAAATATTGTAGACATGTTACCACACGTTGAAGTCAAATATATATATTTTACGATGACATTCTGCTTTACATGAACCTCTGATTATTATTATATATATATATATGTATATGGAAATATATGAAGACGTTGCACGTACAAGTATAATAATAGTATTCAAGAAAGCTACATCCTTCCCGCAGTAAGTTTTCATTTTCCAATAGAGAATGATGTTATCACGCAGTCCTGAACGCTTATTGCCAATTTCAATGCGGTAAGCTGTCGTGTAAATGAGCCTTTAGGTGTCGAAGCGTGAAATTAAACAAGTAGTGTATGTTGTGTGAACACACTCTCGCATTTGATTTATTGCTTAAATAAAGTTGAAAATATTCCAGTGATGCATCCGCCGCAGTAAAATCTATCGATCACGCTCAAAAGCTCGTAACATCAGCACGAGATAAGCGCTCGATCATGTCTCCGGAAGAGAGAGTCCTTGCCCGCTTTCTCTACATAACTATTTACTTCATGTATTAGCAGTGCCGTTAAAAGACGAAAATAGTGTTTATTTCATAACGAGTAATACCGGTCATTGACACTGCGGCCTAAAACCGACTCGCCAATCACAATCTCACGCGGAACATTTACTTCCTGTCGCATATATTATACTCGAAGTAAATATTCATTTCGTAAACATAATTTTTATTTATCGTTGTTTTGAATAAATAAGTATACAAAATATAACACATTATGCTGTAGATGTTTGTGAAACATTTGCTGTGATATTTCAGCTACATTTGGACGTCATAACTTATAGACAGACACTAAATATTCCTATGTATATTGTATCTGCAAAATACGTCTGATTATGTTTTAGATTGTATTTAGTAGAAAAACACTTCGATTATAAAGCAAAAATTAAAAATTTCGTTTAGTTATACTAATATATCTGATCTGAACCATTGCCAAATGGTGCACATGCTGACAAATCGAGTCTGTCTTAGATAAGGTTCGGGATTAAGTAGGTTAAATGTGTACTAAAATTAGGTTAAAGTGTGTCTTTACTAACAAAATATGATCCTTGATGTTTGAAATAAATGATATTATTATTATTATATCTAGATCAACAGGCATTTTCCTTAATTTATATATTTAAAAAAACCAAATGATTCGTTGCCGCATAAATTCATAACCTATTCAAGGTAAACCTTGTGTAAGTCTCCATAAATATGTAATCAATAGATAGCTTGAACAAATTATAGGTATTAAATATTCATAATATGTGTATGTCAGTGCCGACTTACAATCAACCTTTAAACGCGAACGTTGGACACTTGCTAGCAATGGGTCCACGTGTAGTTAAGACATAGGAGAGACATGGCTATAGGTATGTAGAGCTACGAGACACGATGAAGTTCAGCGAGTGGATCTAGAGCAAGGTGATCCGAGGACATTTGAACGGAGACTGGGATCGGCCGCGCCTGGCTTAGGGCCGCCAACTGCCATTATAGGAACGCAACATATAAATATGAACTATTATAAGAAACAAACTTATATTATCATGTTTCGATTAACAGTGTATTTTGTTTTTTGTAGATAAACGTTTCTCACTTTTTTCAACTTTATAAAAATATCTATTTAGATTTTTGTTCGATGTTAACCGCTGTTTGTTTGTTTGTGCGGAATGATAGTTTCATTTAAAATATCACTTTATCAAAACTAAGTTTCATATTATTTTTCATCAGTTTTATATAAGCGTAATTTAAAATTAGTTAACTAGTAATTGAATTAATTTCTTTAGTTTAAACACATCCTACTACTACAAATATGTTTGCCGGTGAGTCACGTACGATGGTACGTGTGGCAGCCCTGGCCGCCGTGCGTGCGGCTGCGCTGAAGCCGTACACTGTCGACTGCACACTCTACACACTCTACACGCTTTGCCACTTAATAATACACGAGTTGTTTACAACGTTGATTATATTTAACTTTGATAAGGGTTACTTTGAGTAATGTTATATAAGGGGCTCGCAAATTAATACTGTCATGCAAATAACTGTCGATGTTGCTCGATTTTGTTCTAAGAAACATTTACTTAACATTAGTTAAAACGTTACTGTTTAACAATTAACGTAAACTAAGTACATTAAGAAAGATCAAATATTGATTAATTACAATGTTTTCCAAATCACATTTATGTAGTTTTGCTTCAGATATAAGTTTTAATTAAATATCGTTTCCCTTAAAAACTATGATGTTCTCCTAGCCGATTCTGGCCACGGCGGCCAATCTCATTGAGACTAGCCAACTGCGCAGGAGATATTATAGTGCTCAAGTGTACGCGCAGACACAACGTGCACTCTCTATTCCTGTCACTTTCATATATTCCGGTGGGCCGACTGCTCGACACGACCAGTGAGACTTAAGGCGCAGGACCGACGGCTTAACGTGCTCTCCGAGACACGGGGGTGAATCACCGCCAACTTAATAACTCAAGACTCAATAACTGAACTTGGCGCGACCCGGGACTCGAACCCAGGACCTCCGAGTGTGCAGCCTTAAAAACTGTAATAATAACTAATTTTCTACATTTAGTATGATTATTCAATTAAATCTTACACAACGTTAGAATTAATCTCAATTACCTATAAGGTACATAAAATGGAGTAATGGAAGCTATTCATCACACACACGAGCACGTAACAGCGCGAGTTCACGTTCGTCTATGAAAGTGTTCTCAAGAAAGTGACATGGCCTTAAGAGATCGCAAAAAAACTGCATGTTAATGTATGCGCTATAATAGTTAATAACGATCCAAAGGTAAGGTTCATAATCATATAGCATCTCGCTAACATATCAAGTAGGGTCTAAGCCCTATCTATTTATATTTCCTCGTGCTACAAGTCGCCGCCCTTTTCTTCGGACATGCTGTGCTTGGCGTGGATAATTCTTAGTAACATCATACCATCGTGAAGTAAATTTACTTGACTAAGATCCTTTGATCTATAGTAGTCTGACAGTACAGATTGTCGGGTGTCGCACAACGTCACAAATTTCATTAAAATACAGCTTACAATGATATTTTATAGTCTAAATTTTTATTAAAAAAGTTCTCCACATTTCACTTGCTAAGGTTGTTTGTGGGCCCTGCCCGCCGCGCTATTTACCTAATGTACCTTATATTATATTGCCTAATAATATTTTATATTTCTTTTATGAAATTCATAAGTAGGTATTATTTTTACTTAAATCAGTGAAACAGCTTCTATTAATAAGTATTAATGACTTTAAATGTAAATATAAGTATTAACGACTTTACAAAAATAAATCTATACAATATAATAAAATTCTAACTGAATCGAATCTTATTGAAATAGTCATCACTATCGGTACAGAGGCAGAATCTATAGTTTTTAGAATTTTTATCTGTCTGTCTAAAAATGTATCACGAGAAAACCACTGGACAGAATTTGGTAAAATATAGTAGCGTATGATAGCTGGTGATCCGGGTCAACATATAGAGGATAGGGATTTTCACTTCGCAAAAATGTTTCATCTCTAAGAAATCTATACTAAACGTTAAAACGTAACCGAGCGGAGCGAGGGTGAGTCGCTAGTTTGTAAATAAAAAGCGGCACAAAATGGAGATACGTACGTTAACACAACTACATGTACACAGCACAGTCAAAGATAAAATGTTATATCAAATTCAAATTTATGTTGAAATATAATCAGAGTGTAACTAATTTAAATGTTTCGTAAATTAAATAATTAATATATTTTCTAAAGTAAACGTTTTACAATCGAAATATTTCTACATTTTCCTTTTATCTTTTTTATATATCACTAGCATTGCCCGCGGCTCCGCCCGCGTTCAGATGACCAAAAACTAAATTCTTAGGTGTTACATATTAGTATACTCTTACATTGCAGTTTTTGTATTTTTCCTCA